AAAGAAAGAGAAAAGAAAAGAAAAGAAGGGGAACACATGCTTATTGTGAAAAGACATCAGACAGCAGAGACATGTATAGAATGAATGTTGCCTGTTTCTCTCTCTTCCATCCCAATCGCCTAGAGATAGCACTATTAAATATAGTTTATTTTTGAGACACATAATTTTGTTATTATCCCCCTGTTGGTGGACATGTAGGTGGTTTCCAATTTTTGGTATCACAGATGATGCTTCAGCAAACCACTTTGTGTATGCATTTGTGCCCACTCTCATAAGCCTCTTGGAGAAGCAAAAACAGCTGAGTTCATGTGTTCTTGCCATTTTTAAAAAAAGAATGGAGGATACCTTTCCTCCCTTTAAAGTATTGTGTTTCTCCTGTGAGACTGCAAAGGCCTGATGACATCTGGAGGGGCTGGCATTTCTGGCTTTGAACTTTTCCCATTAATGTTGCATCAGACTCGAGGGTGTTTCTGCCTAGGATGGTGGTTTCCTGCTTGGAGGGGGAAGACTGTGGTTGACAGGAGAGCCTTGTCCTGAACCTCATGGAAACTGGGCATTCATCCGGGTTAGCAAAAAACTAGCTGTGTTACGGGAGCAGATCTGAGCCTATTTTCCTCCCCAGGAAAGGGGCTGTTGATTCCAGTCATGCCCCCTTGCACTTTGCTTTGGAGATCTGGTGATACTCCGAACACTAAGCATTCTAGTAAGGGGAGGGGACGTCAAGGCAGCGTCATGCACATTGCAACTGTCCTTCTTTCTTGTTTCCTCATTGGCAGTGGCAGTCCCCACCCACAGCAGCTTCTGGCAGTGTCAGAGGATGGTCAAACACATCACGGGATGGAGTGCCTTCTTCTCCTATTACAGATACGGCTGCTACTGTGGGCTTGGGGGCAGAGGGCTCCCTGTGGATGACACTGACAGGTGGGTGCAGAGGCTCTGAGGCCACCTATCATTTCTTTTGCATTAAAGTTCATGCTCGAAGCCAGAGAGAGGGAGTGTCAGGAACAGAAAACTCAGGCTAATAGAAGGAAGAACTGAAGGTGACTCTGAGGATGGGCCTTGAGAAACCCAGTGTCAGGGCCAGCTTCTTGAGTGTGTGTGTGACCTGTAAAGTTTTGCAGGGGCTGGCACTCCTAAGGGCCTAAATGTGGTTTACTGCTCTGCTGCTGCCATCTTGAAATTCTTAATAAAGGGCCCCGTGCTTTCATTTTGCTTTGGCCTCTGCAATTATGCCGTCGGTCCTGCCCAGAGCTCTGGAAGCTGTTTCATCCTCACAGTAAAAGTGCTCTGCCTTCAGCCCTCCAGCGTTTAGGACTATAGGCACAGCACAACTGACTCACCAGTCCTAATTCCATATTCTGGGAGACCGAATCCAAGTGCCCCACTTTGGAGAGGTTGTCCATCTGGGCGAGGTCGCATGGCACAAACCTGGCTTCCAGGCCTACTCCAAAGGATGGGGGTGGGGGAGTGTGAGTTCCTAGAAAAAGTAGAGGTGGGTGTCTCCTGGTGAGTATATGTGTGGGGAGGTAGGAAACAGGACAGTTTGCATGTCATTTCATTTGAAGAAATAAGAAAGCAAAATGTTCCTTGCCACATTTAACCTAGTGTGGAGAAATATGTCCCCACAGTGGGGCCTTAAATATCACTCCTGGAACTCAAGTCTCGTGGGTGGGCTCATGGAACCATGCAAGGACCTCAGAGCCCTGGAAGGGCAACTGACACTTATGAAATGCCCATTATGTGCCAAGCACTGGGACTGGTGATTGGCACATGAACCTAATTTTGTGTGTGCGTGTGTGTGTGTGTCTGTGTGTATGAGATGGAGTCTTGCTCTGTCACCCAGGCTGGAGCGCAGTGGTGTGATCTTGGCTCACTGCAACCTCTGCCTTCTGGTTCAAGCATCTCAAATAGTTGAGATTACAGGTGCCCGCCACCATGCCCAGCTAATTTTTGTATTTTTGGTAGAGACAGGGTTTTACCATGTTGGCCAGGCTGGTCTCGAACTCCTGACCTCATGATCTGCCCGCCTCAGTCTCCCAAAGTGCTGGGACTACAGGCATGAGCCACCGCACCGGGCCCCACATGAACCTAATTTAATTCTCACAGGGAATGCACAAGAAAGTGATACCAGCCCATTTGACAGGTGAGGACAGTGAGGACCCAAGACCCAGAGTTGCTAAACCACCTCCCAAAGGCAATGCAGCTTCTAAGGGGCAGAGTTAGGATTGAACAAGAATTTGCCTATTTCAAAGTTTGTCACCCCTCACTGATGCTCTGTGCGTCCCCTGTCAAAGTCCAAAGGCTGATTCAAAATTGAACATCACTGGCCAACGCTGATCAACAGCAGAACCTCACTGGCACATGGCAACGGTGAGAGAGGGAGACCGAAACATTTTTCTTGGCCTTTCAGGCCTTAGAATCCAAGCTTAAGTTTCCGCCTTCCTGTCCCTTGTGCAGTGGTTGAGGACATGGACTGAGCCAGATGTTATTTCTCCAGATGTTGTTTCTCCTCCAGTGCTCTCCCATCCTGTTCCCAGCCACCTCTGGGTGTCATGAAAGCAAGGACTACCTCTGCTTTTTCAGACAGTTGTCTCCTCCGACACCATCACAGTGCCCGGCTCATAGTAGGTGCTCAGTCAAAGTGTGAAATGAATGAAGGGACCTAGATTTGTGTCCTGGGTCTATCATTTTCCAGCTGCCTAGTTTGGGAAATTGGCCTCTCGGAATCTCATTCCCTTCCCTACAAAAGGGCAACAATGAGTGTACTTCATAGGCTTCTGTGAGTAGCTAATGAGCTAGCAACAGATACTAGAAAGGGCTCAGGAAATGCTACTGGTTGGTTTTATTATTTTTAATTTTATTTTATTTTATTTATTTTTTAGAAGATGGCATCTCGCTTTGTTGTCCAGGCTGGGGTGCAGTGACTCCATCACAGCTCACTGCCGCCTCCATCACCTGGGCTCAACCAATCCGCCCACCTCACCCTCCTGAGTAGCTGGGACCACAGGTGGATGCCACCATGCCCAGATTTTTTTTTTAATTAAAAAACATAGGAGGTTTCCCTATGTTGCCCAGGCTGGTCTCAAACTCCTGGACTGAAGCGATCCTCCTGCCTCATCCTCACAAAGTGTTGGGATTGCAGGCATGAGCCACCAGGACCAGTTTTAATATTATTGATAACTTCACCTCCCCGCCTTCAATGCCTTCCTGCCTAGAGGAGGAGGCAGGTGAATGCGTTCCAGTCCCTGGATAAGGTCCCCCAGCAACATCCCAAGGGACCGACTCCCAGGCACATCCCTGTCTCCCACTTGTCTCACCCCAGATGCTGCCGGGCAAGTGACTGTTGCTGTGAGAAGCTGAAGGAGTCCGGCCGCCAGCCTGTGCTGACTGGCTACAGCCCCACACCGTCAATGGCACCGTGGTTTGTGAGTAGCTTCTTCTGTAGGGAAAGGTCTTTGAACCTGGGCCTTTCCTTAACATTCACCTCCTCTTTGACCCGGTCATCTTTTAGAAAATGAAATGCTTCCAAGTGCTTGGAAGGAGGCAATCCTGAGCTGCTTCCTGATGCTCCAGAGCTTCTCCGAACGTCCATGCTCATCCTGCCCCGGCCTCTCCTGCCCGTGAGTGTATCTCCTACACTCTCTGGGGACCCAGAGCCTGGTAGATAGTACATGCTCAATAAATACTTGTTCGCTTGAGCTTACACTGAATGTTGAAGCTTCCCTTGACAACTGTTACTGTTGAGAACGTGTTTCCCTGGTTCTGTCACGTGTTAACAAAACGGCTCAGCTGCCCTCCAGTTGGACAAATATTTATCAAGGGCGACTGCATCTCAAGCACTAGGATAGGTGCCACCAGGGCCACCAAAGCAAATAGGTAAGAAGAGCAGGGGGACTCACATGTTACTGAGACCATTCAAGGACAAGGGAAAGTGGGCAGAGTGCCCTGCAAGTGTGGGGGGGCTTTGGCATCCGGATTGTGTTCTGGGGCTGGTAGGGTATGGGTATGTGCAGGGCAATCCTGGTCTAAACAGCAGGCACATTCAGAGGCACCCAGCGGTGGCCTTTGGTGAGCACCATCCTTTCCAGCATAGCAGGGAGGGTCCTGGGGTCCCAGGCTGGGAGGGTGAAGAGCACTGAATCAACATGTGGCCCATTACAGCGTGTGGCTCACTTCCTGCCTGGCCTCTTCGGGTTGTATGAATCGCTTTCCTTCCCAGGTATATTTATTCACAGCTGTGAGTGCATCTTGGAGTTCCTCTGTTTTCTCCCGAGGTTAGGAAACTACTATGTCTCTGCCACTCATCCCCTAGGGTAGGGGATACATCCTCCATCCCATAGTGGGTGCCAGAGCTCAGACCCCTGGTCTCCCGAGCTCCCTCCACCCACCACTCCAGCTCAGCACACATCAAGACCCAGAGTTAGGACTGTGAGGCTCCTGGCACCAGCCGTGTGGGTTGGGGGCTTGGCCTCCTGCACCGGGAGGAACTGCCTCAGCTCACTGCCACCAGCACGTGGCTGACAGGGAAAGCACCCTATTGTGTTCCCTGTATGAGCTCAGGAAGACTTCCTGAGTTGGAGCTCTCTGGTGTGGTCCTTCTGAGACCTAAAGCAAAGTGTCTCTTCTATGACACTTCCAAGACCACATTCAGGAGAGGGGAAGGGATCAGGGCCTGGTAAGAGGGATGGGGAGACGGGACTGGAGAAGGAGGTCTCCAGGGACTGAGTTTCCCATGCCTCTTCCCACCTGTCTGCGCCACAGGGGTGGGGACGCCCCGCTGGCCCAGCCCAAGCCTCCACCCTGCACTCCCGTGGGCTGGCTGCACTCCCCAGGGAAGCTTCTCTATTCAATGCTGTTCACCCTCCCAGCCCAGGACCCCTGGAGATGAGAAAAAGTGGAGCAAAGGTTGAGGGGCAGAGGTTGGAGCCCCAGGCGGTGGCACTGCTGGGCTGTGGCAGGAGGTGCCGGAGGGGCTGGGAGTTGGACCAGAAAGTACCTGACCTGAGCTGTGCTTTCTTCTCATGATGCCCCTGCAAAGCAGAAGCAGCCAGTTGCTCCTGAAGCCTTGACCAGGGCTCCTGAGTCCAGAGCCCTGCTCAGGGCACTAGCATGGAGGAGGCTTCTGCGTCAGTACCAGGCATCAGCACCCCTGTCCACAGCTGACCCAGCCGGTGAAGACCAGGCCAGCCTCTGTCATCCCTGCCCCCACCCTGCCAAGCCCCTACTTCCGGGAGCAGGGCTGAGAGCCAGGTGACCTGGGTTGTAATCAGGAGTCTGCTGCTGACATGTGCTGAGCCCCAGGCCCATTGGTTTACTTGTCCAGTACTGAGTGAGCATCCACTGGGTACCCACCCAGTGCCAGTGCTGTGCCAGGGACCAGGGGCACAGAATAAGACAGACCCAGTCCCTGCTCTTCTGGCGTTCATGACCTTGTGGAAACTCCAGAGCTAAAGTGCCCTTGAAGACCACCTAGATCAGCCCCCCATTGTAGCCATGAAGAGACTGAGACCCACAGAGGGGATGAGTTTGATCCATGAAACAGACAAAATTAAGACGCATGTGTCTTGAACCTTTTCAGTGCTCTGGAACATACCATCTGGCCTCAGTCATCTGGGCTTTGTTTTTCTCATCCATGAAATGGGTCCAATAACAGCAGCTTCAGTGTACGAGCCTCTGTGATAGCTGCTGTACACACAGCACCTGAACTCACATGATAAACCTCTGAGGTGAGCACTATCTCCCATTGTCAAGGAGGACTCTGAGGCTCAGAGAGGGTAAGCACGATGGCCAAGGCCACACAGCCAGGGAAAGAGGAGTTGGGATTCAAACCCCAGGCGTTCTGTCTCGCACCAGCCTGCCCTGTGGAGGGTGCTGGGTGTGTGCGTGATTGGAGGCCCTCACACAGTGTTAAGTCTCAGGATCTGCAGCAAACTGCTCAGAATGGTCTGCCCTGGCCCAGGGCAGGAACGAGGGGCAGATGGAGTTTGCTTCTCTGTAAGGCCATGGAACTTCGTGCTCCTGCTAAGGGGCCTTGCAGTCAGGCAGCGCTGGGTCTGATTCCAGCTCCACCCCTTATATTCATGGTTGAGCCTTAATCTCTTCCTCTGTGAAATGGAGCTGATCACCGGTACTTAGAAGGCTGCTGGAAGGACTGGCCAAAGCAGCCCAGCTACGGGGGCGGCCTACCTAGGTGCTCCATTCCTGCCCTTCCCTTTAGATGTGGAAATTCCTCTTTCTGTCCAAGTTTTCTTTTCCTCTTTGCTGACAGCACTGGGATTTTCTCTATTACTGTTTCTTTGAAGAGTCCGCTCTGTGCTTGTACCTATCGGGCTAAGGTCACTAACCCCTTATGGAATAAAACCCCTTTCCTGGCTGGCCGCGGTGGCTCATACCTGTAATCCCAGCACTTTGGGAGGCTGAGATGGGAGGATCACCTGAGCCCAGGAGTTCAAGACGGGCCTGGGCAACACACTGAGATCCCTGTCTCTACTAAACATACAAACAATTAGCAGGTCTGGTGGTGCATAACTGTAGTCCCAGCTACTCGGAAGCCTGAGAGAGGAGGATCACCCGAGCCCAGGAGATGAGGCCACAGTGAGCTGTGATTGCGCCACTGCACTCCAGCCCGGGCAACAGAGTGAGACCCTATCTCAAAAAACAACAACAAAAACAACTGTTTCCCTAGCCTAATTGCACCTCAGTTCAAAGAGCTGCCCTGCAAGAGTTAACCAACTCCCTAGCCTCCCCTGAGTTCTAAAATCCTGCCCCAGGCCTGGTCCCAGGTTGCCTAGCAACCAGGGGCTGCTCTGGGATGCAGTAGGTAAGCAGGGAAGGGAAAGGAAGAAAACAACTCGGTCTGTCCACGACTCTAAATGTCACTGAGAGATCAGTGCAGAGAAAGACCTGTCACCAGAGCCCAGGGCCCAGTTTGCCTGGTGGTGGGGACAGCTGCCCTCAGGCCATCTGGTTATCCCTCCTTTGAGTGGGCTTACATAAGTACTTGGCATTTTTGCAAGGGACTTTAAGCTTACCCGGCAGTGACACCCCCTCCGCCCACACGCACACACATGTGTGGTACAGGGAGGACCCGGTGTGGGAGGCAGAGATGGGGTTCCAGCCAACTGAACATCCATCATCTCCATCTCCCGGCCTCTGACTGCCTCCCTCTGCCAAAGGGAAAAGATGAAAATGGTAACTGCTGGAATTCGTATTTTGCGAATTCCAAAGACCTCTCTCGTTTGCTCTGAATGCATTCCTCATCTCAGCCTCCACTCTCCGACACGCTACCCGCTGTCTCTCCAGCATTCATCTCTACCGGAAATGATCTTGTTTATTTCTCTGTGTCCATGTGCAACGACTCTTCCCACAACTAGAGAGTTCCGTGAGAGCAGGGCGCAAGACCGTCTTGTTTGAGGGCTCTTGTTCTCATAGAGCCCACAGAGAACCATACCCCTGGACTAAGCAGTGTGGGGTCTGCTGGCTTGCACCTGTACCCCCACCCCCTCGCTCCTAGCCAAAGGCCAGACACGTGTTGGGAGCTCAATACTTGCTTAATGAGTGAATGAACAAAAGCACTCATGAAATAGGCAGTGCACGTATCTTTATCCCCATTTGAAAGCTGGGGAATCGGGCTTGGAGAGGGAAGCTACTTGCCTGAGGCCCCAGAGCACAGAAGCAGCATATTTGGCCCAAGAGCCTGGCTTCCTGTCTCCTAGGGGTCAGCTCTGGCACTGGCACTGGTCAGCTCTGGTAGGCCATTTGAGTGTGGCCAGTGAGGTGGTCGGCAAGGAGCCTTTACTGCATGTTAGGGGGCAGGAGATCTGAGGAGGACAAAATCCTTGCCCTGAAGGAGCTTGCCTTCCAAAAAGAGCAGGAGACCGTAGCATATTCATTAATAAAGACACAGTCAAACAGGGCCAAGTGCTCTGAAGCACCTCAGACAAAGCAACATGCTGTAGAATGACAGAGATCGGGGGTCGGGGACAGAAGAGTGCCTGCTTCAGGTGGTCGAAGAAAGCCCCTCTGGGGAGGTGCCATTTGGTCTGAGACCTCAGGGCCAGTGGGCTAGGAGCAGAGACGCCTTGGGAAAGAATGGCGATGGGGTCGGATGGGGCAAGACACGTGCCTTCTGTGTCAAAGGCAAAGGAGTCATCGGAGCGTGTGAAGCAGAGGATGCTCTACTTTTTCCCCAGAAAGATCACTCTGGCTATAGTGCAGAGAAGGAGGAGAGTCAGGGAGGAAAGAATGGCCCCAGTAGGGGACCGTTGCAAAGCACTGGGAGATACTGCCACAGCTGGGACCAGCACGGCGACAGTGGGGATGAAGTGTCAGATGCTGAGAATGCCATGCGGGTCGGGTCAGGGTTGACAGGACCTGCTCATGGGTTTGGTGTGGGGTGTGAGGGGAACAGAGGCTGCATCCCAGGCTCCTGGCCTGAGTGGCTGTAGATAGTGGCACCAAATACTGAGCTCGTGAAGATGGGGTGAGAGCTGATGATGAAGACTGCAAGAGTTTGGTGTGAGCCACACTGAGTTTGAGACACGTATTGGACATGTAAGGGGAACGCAGGTGGACACGTGTACAGAAGTCCGGAGCCCAAAAGAGAGGTGTGGGCTGCAGTGGACAACCTAGGAGTATTCAGAGTTCTGACACTGACCAAGAACACCCAGGAGATCATTCAGGGATGAGCAGGGCTGAGGCAAGGGGCTAGCCACAGGCAGGACTGCACACTTGCTGCCTCGTCTTATTTGTGGAGATGTCGTTCATGCGGTAAGAAAGGCGTTCCAAAGCCCTCAGTTCCTTTCTTTATGCCTCAGTTTCTCCATTAGCAGATTAAAAGATGCCTGGTCTGGAGTTGGGCTTGTTTTTAAAAGGTGGCTTCCAACGATGGTTTTTCTTGGCCTCGGTCTGTCTCGTCATCCAGGTCAGGACAGGCCCGGTCCGCGGCTGAGGAATGCCACAGAAGTGACAGTCCACTGTGAAAGACCGCTGCTCCAGATCAGTTCTGGAGGGTCTGGGGATGGGGCAGGCCATTGAAGTAGAACTGGATGTCAGATGCACGCACCAGAAAAGACAGGAGGACAAAACGCAAAACGAGAGAGGGAGGGGGACAGGGAGCAAGGAAGGAGGGTTAGAGACTCGAGATGAAGGAAACAAGAGATGGAAGAGAAGAGGGAGGGCCGGAAGACAGATCAACAGAGAGAGGGACGAGAAAGAAGGTGAGAAAAGGGCTGCCAGGGTGACAGCGCCTGGACTGGGCCCTCTGGATGGACAGTGACTGGGAGGCCTGAGCTCAAGTAGCCCTCACCCCCTGAGAGGGTGGGGGCTACCTGGGGAGCTGGGCTTGATGCATCTGGAAGGATCTTCAGAGGCAGAAGTGGGGGAGTGGGAGGACAGAGGGCACCCAGGCGCTAGAACAGTGGGAGCTGCAGGATCGGAGAGCCAGAGGAGTGAACAGCTCTGGCAGATTTCCTGCGGGCGAGCGGAGGGGGCAGGAAGCTCGGTGGTGTTGGCACAACGTGAGAAGTTCCAGGGAGGCGTGGGAGGGCAGCTTCTGCAGGACACAGACTTTGCAGAGGGAGAGTAGCAAACAGGCTGACTGCAGCCAGCTCCGGCCGGCTCCACAGGGTGCTTCTTTTTCTCCATGTGGAGCTGGTGTGCATCACCCTGAGGACAGCAGCGAGCACCCATAGGGCATCTTCTGCGTGCCAGGCACATCTGGCACTTGATGATAGACACCAGCAATCCTCACCACACCCCAGGAATGACTAGGTTTTAGCACCATTTCATAGATGAGGAGGCTGAAGCTAACTTCCCCGAGGTCACAAACCAGGGCGTCTGGTGGCTTCCCCTCCTCACTGCCGACCCTGAGAGTGGACTAGGTGGAGTTATCTGGAAAGAGGAAGCTGTACCTGAAAACCCTAAATGCACACGCACATGCACACACACGGATACATGCACACATGCATACTTCATGCACATATGCACACATGCATGTGCACACATACATGAACACATGGATACATGCACAAATGCACACACACGTACATACATGCACACACATATGCACATGAACACACATTCACATACACCCATACATGCACACATGCCTGCACACACATAGACCCACATGCACACACATGCATACATGCACGATGCACACATGCACACATGCACATGCACGCACACATGCACATGCACACAGACATGCACACATGCACATGCACACCTACATACATACATGCACACATGGATACATGCACACACACGTACATGAATGCACATAAACACATGGGCACACACACATGCTCACACCCATACATGCACACACACACATACCCACATGCACACACTCATACATGCACAATGCACACATGTACACACACATGCACAGTGCACACACATCCACATGCATGCACACACATACACACATACCTGCACACATGTATACATGCACAGATGCACACACACACACGTACACATGGACATGCACACATGCACACATACACATGCACACATGGACACACATACATGCACACACATACATGCACAGTGCATGCACGCACACATGCACACATGCACATGTACACACACATACACAGGCACACAGGCACACACATACACCCGCACGCGGTGCTACAGCTCTGATTAGTAGGTAAACAAAAGGTCCCCATCTAGTGGTGACTTGGCTAAAGTACAGGCACTCAATCCCAAAGGCCCATAGAGGCTTCCTTACCTCTTCTCTTCTTCATTCATGGATTCTCTTGAGCATCTGTCCTGGATGCTGGGGACACTATGATGAACCAGACAAGGTCCCAGCCACACAGCTTATGCTTCATTGAGGGGAGGCAGACACAAGCCAGGAAACCAGTAAAAGTTCAGTGAAAAGCATGGAGTGAGACACACAGGTGTGGAGGGCGGCCAGAGAGAGCTTTAGATCAGGCGGTCAGGGAGCGCGTCTCTGAGGAGGTCAAATTTGACCAAGCCCCGAATGGTGGCACGGATCCCACCGCTTGCAGATCCTGAGGAGAAGCATTTTAGACAAAAACGACAGCAAGTGCAAAGGCCCAGGGACAAGACAGAGCAAGAGCTGTGACATGAAACAGCCTGGTGTGCCTGGGAGAGTGGAGGGTGACGAGGGTGGAGAGGCTGGTGAGGGTGGGTTCCCGGCAAGCGTGCCTGGCCACGGAAGGATTCCACATGTCTTTCCCGAATAGGAAACCACACTGGGGCTGTAAGCCAGAGAGTGAATGCAACTTGGGTTACAGTTTGAGACAGCCCCTGCTTATTTCCTTCCATGAAGGAGGAAAAGCTGCTGATGACAGGGATTTGGGCAGTGGCCAAAGAGATGGAGAGAAGAGGGCAGAGCATGGGCTGTTTTAAACACAGAGATGATGAGCAGGACCTGCTGGCAGACTGGTTGTGAGAAGTGGAAGAAGCGGAGGCAGTGAGGTCGGCTCCTGGTTTCCTGAGAATGTGGGTGAAGCACGGACTCGCAGGCAGAGGGAGCGCTAGGAAACCACAGGTTCCCTTGTGAGCGCCTCAAGTTGGAGATGTCTGAGACATCCAAGTGAGATACGAAGCATGCAGCTGGAAACACGAGATGAGCTCTGGGAAAACGCTGCCATCACCCTGGCTGTGTGCTGCCCAGGTGCCCACACCCAGCTCTAGCTGGGAAGAAAACCACCACTGTCCTTGTGTCCCTGCGTCCTCACCTTTTACGATGTAATTCTTAGCTTTTCTTATCAAGAGGCAGAATCTGTTTGCCCCACCCTTGAATCTAAACTAGCTTTGTGGCTTAGTTTGGGCAATAGAAAGTGGTGGGTGGGATGCTTTACCAGTTTTGAGCTAGGTCTCAGGAGGTCTGGGGCACTGCTACTCTCCCTTAGGACAGCTGCCCCCGCCCTGAGGAAAAACCCGGGCTAGCCTGCTGGAGGAGAGCCGCTGGGATCAGTGGCCTCAGCTGACTTCAGACACCGAGAGAGAGCTCAGTGAGCAGTGGCGTGTACCTGACAAGATGCATGAGGGAACCTGGTTGAGACCAAAACAACTGCCCAGCTGAGCCCAGGCTGAACTGCCAACGTGCAGAGTTGTGAGCTAAATAGGTAAAGGCTTTTGTTCTAAGTCGCTGGGTTTTGGCATGGTTTGTTAGGTAGCCATAACTAACTGGTGTAATTAGTCCTGTTCCCTTATTCACTGAGACTGGTGGGTTCTCAGCCCTGAGCTGGACTTAGAGGCCAAGGAAATGTTGTGGACATGGCCTTTGTTCCTTTCCTTGAAGGTGTAGAAAGAGGTCATGTTCATGTAATAACAGAGAACACACAGCTGTAATCCTTTGCTCGGTCAGGCAACACGCATTTAGTGAGCACTTGCTATGTGCCAGGCACAGTGCCAGGAAGTAGGGATTCAGAGATTTAAAGAAAACAAACAGAAATCAAATCTGAAACTCCTGGGGAGAATGCTGAGAGTGGTACCAACTTTTAGGAGTTCAGACGCAAACTCTGGGTTGAGAAATGGACAGAGGTGAAGACAGAAAGGAACACCGGAAGTGAGGGGCAGCAGAGGGGCTGGGGGCTCGGACTCCTGCGCTCCGCCTGGCTCGGCTTTTACTATCAAGTGGGTGACTGGCCCACCCTTCTCCCCCACCCATGCGTGGTTGGAAATTGCAACTGCAGATGGAAGCTTGAGGTTTATGAGCATCAGGGAAAGTGTCAGCAGGCCGTGAGGGAAGCAGGTGTAGAAAGGTGGACGTGGAACCAGGGTGGCCGGCCCAAGCCAGTGGGCACCTCCTCACCTCGGGGATCCTGACCACCGCAGAGACCAGCTCCAGACTGTGAAGATGCCTGGCCAACCGACACAGTGGAAGGAAAAGGGCCAGGGGCAGGCTCAATGCTGGGGGACAGGTTTCCTGGGTGAGATCCAGACCATATTTTTTTAAAAAAAATTTTTTTTGAGACAGAGTCTCATTTTGTTGTCCAGGCTGGAGTGCAGTGGCATGATCGTGGCTCCAATCGTGGCTCCCTGCAACCTCCACCTCCCAGGTTCAAGCGATTCTCCTGCCTCAGCCTCCTGAGTAGCCGGAATTATAGGTGTGTGCCACCGCGCCCAGCTAATTTTTGTATTTTTAGTAGAGACGGGGTTTCACCACGTTGGTCAGGCTGGTCTCGAACTCCTGGCCTCAATTAATCCACCTGCCTAGACCTCCAAAAGTTCTGGGATCACAGGCATGAAGCACCATGCCCAACCTGTCTTCACTCCCTTCTCTCTTCCATCCCCTAATCTAGAAGATAGAAAGGATGGGCCCTTGATGGTACACAAGCCCCATTTGTTTGGCACTGATGCCCTGATTCTCGGAGAACTGCGGTGGGAGTGTAGAGGGATGTGTGGACTCTCACTGAGAAAGCCTGCTGTCCTCGACACTGTCATGCCTTCCGTGAGCACATGTGTACTGAAGACCTCCTCCAGGCCAGGCCCTCTGCACCAGACTCCACAGAGCTCTCAGACCAAAGGGAAAACAAGTAAGCAGGGGATTGCAGAACAAGCTGGGGGTGCCGGGATCAGGGTGGGCTTGGGGAGCAAAGCCTACCTCCAGGAGGGTGAGGGAAGCTTCCCTGAGGACTGCTGGGGGTCTGACATCTCATCTGAGACTTGAAGATGAGGAGGAGTGGGAGGGCCAGTGGGGCCACGCAGAGCCTCCCAGGTCGAGGGTTGGAGAGAATCGGCATCCGCCCGCGCCAGCTCCTTGCGTGCCTGCCTTGCCCGTCTCTGCTGAGGGCTCTTCTCCATCATCGGTCCCTGCAGGCCAAAACCCGGGTGACAGATTCTCATATTCCACATCCCACACCCAATCTGTTGGCACTGCCTTCATGCATCTAGATTCTGTATTTGTAAAATGCTTTCATCAAATGTTTACATGAAAAGAAAAATAAGAGGGGAAAAATCTAGAAGCTGGTCACTTCTTATGACTTTCACCGCCACCTTCTTTGGTGGTAGCCACCATCGCTGGTGCCTGGGTCACCACAGTTGCTCTTTGCTGTTCTCTCTGTGCCCACCCTCGGCCCCTCCATCTCTGCCTCACACAGCAGTAGGCCAGCAGTGACTAAGCCCAGCCCTGGCACTCCCTGCTCACGCTCCCGGCAGCTCCCTCTGGGCTGTCTTTACAGTGCCACCCGGTCAAGTCTGGGCTGGAGTTGCACCTTCCTGATGAGACTTATGCTGACTTCCCTTCAATCCTGCCCTCTCCCACCAGCCTTGCCCACCCCCTTTGCCCTTCCCTTTACTCATCTGATGAAAACTGGAGACTAGGGAAGCGGGTAGGGGAACTGTGACTTGTTGTGGATGGCCAACTAGCGCCCAGCGGGGCCGGGGTGTGAACCCCTGTCTTCTGATTCCCGATCTCTTGCTTTCCACCCTCTTTCTCAAAATGTGGGAGCTGGATCCGATGCCCTCTGAGTCTCAGGCTCTGCAGTCAGAGACTGCATTTGTTGTGTGACCTGGAGTCATTTACTTGGCTTGTCTGGGCCTCAGTTTCCTCCCTGTAGAAGCAAAGCTATGAATAGTCCCCACCAAGGCTCTCAGCTCAGTGATTGACGTGTTCTGCCTTTCTTACATGGGCCCTGACATCCTGAGATCCCAGGCCCCCTTCCCACCAGAGCATGGGTATTTTAGAAGGGTTGCCATTGACAGGGCAATATGTCTTGTTTTTAAAAACTGTGAACCCCTGTCTCCTGTTGCTAGGAGCCTTGGTATTTCTCTCCAGAACTTTCCTTGTTGTCACAGTTGGTGGCATCAGCTGCTTGTTAGGAAGCCACAACTGAGGAAGCCGACAGCTAGTGTTACCGCGCCAACCTCTGGAGGAAGGGCCGCCTCTCTGCATTCACAGTCAGGGCCCAGCTGAGGAAGGGGCAGCTCCCTGGCCCAGCTGGGAGCAGGGTCAGTCAAGGACCCGGGCGCCTGGCTGTGGCTCAGGGGCAGCAAGGGCTGACAGACCCTTCCCTTCTGCATCCTCCCCCTCCTCCTCCTCCCACTCCCTCCCGTTTCCCCTCACACTCAAGGGCAGGGAGCCAGATTTTCTGGCTAAACCACAGCTTTGCTTCTGCCAGGTTTCTGTTTGGGGGAGAATGTCACAGGCAGCCCACTTCCATCAGCAACGCCTTCTTCTTCCTGCCGCTATCTGCCTCCCCGACCCGAGGACCTTCTGCCCAGGGCACCAGTCACCAGCTCTGACAGTTTCTTTTCTCCCTGCCAGGCCCTGTGTGAGGGGCGTTCTCATCCCTGACCTCATGTAATCCTCAAACCCTATGGGATGTGTTTCATTATCAACCACATTTTGTAGAAGGGGGAAACTGGCTGGGAGGGGTGAAGCGATTGCTTCTACACAGCCCCTGAGGAGGCAGGGTCAGGGTGCCACCCAGCTTGTGCTGTTTGCTTTAAGGGCAGCACTTCTTGTGAGGCGGTGGTGACAGCAATGAGCAGATGACAGAGGCCACACTGATGGCTTCCTGTGCTCTCCTGGGCACTGTGGGGCAGGCCCCCAGCAGATCTCCACTCTGGGTCCGGGGCAGAGGTGTGGGAAGGGTGGAGCGGAGCACCGGTTGTGACCCATGATGTCCACTAGGTGTCGCCCGCGTTCTGGAAAAGCTGTCAGCGACGGCCGCCGGGTCCCAGGAACCAGGAAAGGAGCTGGGAGGGGCACGGGTCTCCCGAGGAGGCAGGCAGAGGTAGGTCTGGGCAGAGATGGCAGCCCCAGGCCAGGGAGGAGCACGGACAGCCCCCTCCTCACGCCTTAGCGTGGAAGACCTCACTACCTCGGATGGAGTCTTCATGGGTCCTACTGCCAGGAAATCCCTGGGCAGTAGAATGGGCCCCTCCTCCCAAAATGAGACCCACTCTCTGCTCCTCCTCCCCATGCCAGGGAGACCCCAACTGCACCCCATCCCCTTCTGGGCACCTTTGGGACTGCCACACAGACCCGGGTCCTCACCCCTGTGCTCCCAGCCACGCTACTTGGCACCATGTGCCAAGGTTAGGAACTCACTGTCTGCCTCCCGCCTGGGCTGCGGGCTCCATGGGCAGAGGCCGGAAGCCCAGCTCCATTGCTGGCACACGGGGACTCAGGGCCGCTGAGTGAACAAATCTGCGGGTGAGCTTGTCCAGGGATTTTCAAACTTTTAAAATACTGAGGCCCGGCTCGGTGGCTCACACCTATCTTCCCAGCACTTTGGGAGGCCGAGGTGGGCGGATCACCAGGTTAGGAGATCAAGGCCATCCTGGCCAACATCGTAAAACGCCGTCTGAACTGAAAATACAAAAATCAGCCAGGCTAGTGGTGAATCCCTGTAGTCCCAGCTACTCGGGGGGCTGAGGCAGGAGAATCACTTGAACCAGGGAGTTGGAAGTTGCAGTGAGCCGGATCACCCACTGCTCTCCAGCCTGGCAAGAGAGTGAGACTCCGTCTCAAATAGAGAGAGAGAGAGAGAGCTGAGAAATCCCACTTCCTCTTCCAGCGGCGCCTGTGAAAGCTTCCCCATGTAACACAGTGGTCCCCGCTGATGTCCCCAGGGAAGCCCATGGCTTTAGGGAGCATGGGAAACTGTTCTGGTTGCTGTGGGGGAGGTAACCGATGCCCATACAGGAAGGAGCCTGAGTCAGGGAAGGGGCCAGGACCCAGCTGCCTTGTGGGACCCTCATGGCCCCACCATCACTCACTGTCACTCTGAAGAAATACCCGGCCTCCATACAAATGATCTCAGCGGTAATCATCTCCTGCCCACTTGCCCCTCCCCCCCACTAGGCTCACAAAGCCCTTTCCTCCCCGCTGTCTCAGTGGCTGCCACAACAAGCCTGGGACCTTGCACTGTAGATATGTAGTCCCATTTCACAGATGGGCCCACCAAGGCTCGACAGATGTCAGCGGCAGAGCTGGAAGGAGAACCAGACGGGCCAGTCTCTCCTGCCACCGCCCCAGCTGCCCAAATTATCATTCAGGAACTGCATGGAGCAGGGGTTAAAAGTCAGACCCAGCTGAGCGCAGTGGCTCACACCTGTAAGCCAAGCACTTTGGGAGGCTGAGGAGGGCAGATCACTTGAGGTCAGGAGTTGAAGACCAGCCTGGCCAACATGGTGGAACCCTGTCTCTAATAAAAATACAAAAATTAGCTGTGCGTGCTGGTACACGCCTGTAATCCCAGCTACTTGGGAGGTTGAGGCAGGAGAATCACTTGAATCCAGGAGGTGGAGGTTGCAGTGAGCCGAGATCGCACCAGTCTGGATAATACAGCAAGACTCTGTCTCAAAAGAAAACAAACAAACAAAAAGTCAGACGCAGAGGACTCAGAGCCCAGCTCCATCACTTGTGACCTGTGTGACTTGAACTCTCTGGGCCTCAGTTATCAGCAGAAATGGGTGCGGAGAGCACGGCAGAGATCTGTGCCTGAAAAGCACTTAGCCCGCCGTTAGCATCATCACGGGGCATCGCCCCACTGCTGGACCACGGGGCCTAGGGTCCGTGGCATTGGCACCACTTCTCACCCCCAGGCCGGAGGGCAGGAGGGAGATGGGCCATGCCAGCCACTGGGCATGGGAACCCACCTTCCCCAGAGCTGGAGAAGCAGGGGGAGTCACTGTGCCCTCCCCCAACGCCTGGCCAAGGAGGGCCCAGCCATGGAAAGTTGAGGTAGGAGGCCTTTATTCATTTGAGGAGGGGAAGCTGAGTCCTGTGGAGATTCTCTGGGAGCTGCAGCATCCAAAGTGTCTGGGGTGAGTGGGGGTGGGCAGGACCCCCAGGCAGCAGAATCCCATCCCCAGACCCTGGCCTGGACGTCCCAAGGGGCAGGGGAGGGTGTGTGCGTGTGTGTCGAGGGGCGTAGCTGGGAACCTGCGTTCCCCCTAGCTGGAGGACCATGGCCAGCAGGAGGCGGCGCTGTGGCGGAGGCGGGTGTGGGGGGGTGGGGGCGTGGGGGGGGAGTGGGGTGGGGAGGAGGATGGCATGGGCCCCTCACACACTGACGGTGGCACTGGGGGGCAGTGTCCTTGTCTCCATGGCTGGGGCTCTGGAACCTGGGGCTGGTGAGGCTCCCTGGCCTCTTTTTCATACATGTCCCTCCTCTGCCTTTCCTCCCCAGCAACAATGGTGCCCGGGGCACTGCCAGATGAGCTTGTTGGTGGCTGTTGAGTCCAGGCGGAGAGTGGCCTCAGTGGTCCTCGGGCTGGCGGCGCTGGCTCCGTGGAGGCCGCCGACCCTGAGTTGAGGCTCGGACAGGTAAGAAGCAGGGGAAGGTGCACCTGGAGAAACAACAGTGCTGGGGGCCCACAGGGGCATCCCCTCCACCTCGGCCTGGTTCCAGGCCCTACACAAACAGCCCTGCAAAGCCCTGCCCCCAGCTCCTCAGTGCTGCCTGGAGGCCCCTCCCTGCTGGTGGCTGTCACTCACCTCGTCCTTTCTGGCTTCCATCTTCTCCCCTCTCCTTCACCACCCTGTTCCCTCCCCACTGCCTTCTAGAAGCTTCCACACAGCCTCCCACCTTGACCCTCTTCTAGAATCTTCCACGCAGCGTCCTGCCTTGATGTTCTCCCTCTTTTTTTCCCTCTTCACTGAGGTCGGTCTCAGCCCTCAGCCTCTTCCCCACCAATGGGACTTGTGACACCTGCCCACAGCCCAGGGAGAGAGGGTGAGGGTCCCCCCTTCACCGTTCCAGGGGCAGGCCAGGAGGGCAGTGTCTGTCAGGGACCCGGAGGGCAGGGGTAAGGGTGCTCCTCAGAGCCACATGGTGTGGTGGGGCAGGGTTGGGGTGACACGCATGGGTCAGTGGGGGGTACAGAGAAGACTTGTAGGTGTTGGGGCCATGTTTTCATGTGTCCCCATATTAGCCTGGGGGGTGTCCCTGGGTGTGGCTCTGTCACTGCCCAGGAGCCTGCTCTGAGATTGGACTCTGGGGCTGGGACACTCAGCACAGCGCTATACCCTGGGGTCTGAGCCTGGACTCACGGCCACCTTAGTGAGGGCTGGGGTGAGGCCACCTGCTCTGTGAATGGGGCTCTAGAGAGCCTCAAGCCCGAAGTAACCGCCACCCTGGACCATCCTGTGGGACCAGCCGAGGGGCTTCTGGAACCCAAGCTTTGGGACCAGCAATCTGCCTTCCTGTGACCTTAGGCCGAGGCTGCACCCAACTCTAGGCCTGGGCTGGTGGCTCAGACTCTCTAAGGCTCTTGGGAGTCAAGTTGGGGCCACAACAGAGGCTCTACTCAGAGGCCCCTCCTGTCTCTCCCTCTCTCTCTCTCTCTCTCGCTCAATATCTCTCTCTCTCTCTCTCTCTCTCTCTCTCTCGGGTCTCCCCGGCCACTCTCATCAGGAGAGACCCCTAAAGCTCCGTACTTCCCACCTAAAGCAGAATCAGTGGTGAGATGCAACCGTGCCTGGGGCTGGGCTGGGGGAGCAACATGGCCAGAGTCAGGACCCAGGCCTTCCTGAGTCCTCGGGGGTGGGGGCTGCTGAGCCCTCGCTGGAGGGCGCCAGGGAGGAGGCAGCCAGCAACCCTGGGGCTCCCAGCCTGGCTCCTACCCTCCCTGCTCCTCTGTCTGGTCCCCAAGCCAGACCCTCCACCCGCTCTTCTCTCTCAGACCTCAGAGGCTCTAGGGAGGGGTGGGGGGCGCCGGGGATGGGTGACTGCAGGTGACCTCCTCGGGGGGCGGTTCGTAGATGCTGCAGCTGGGCGTGGGACCCTGGCAGTAGATGTTGAGGAAGCCTCGGTACTCCTCTCGGTACGTCCTGTTCATGAGGCACAGAACCATGTTCTTGTCACACGCGCACGTCTGCTTGTCACACTCTGTCTTGTTGAGCTCACCTAGAGGCGGATGGATGGGCAAAGGCTGTGGGTGAAAGGAGCAGGGGCCCCCCAGGACCACTGCTGGGGAGGGGGGGCACAGACTTGGAGAGCCCAGTGGCCCTCGGAATGTGGTCCCAGGGCGGCAGGACCAGCGCCACCCATGGGCCCCACCCCACACCTGCAAGGTCGGCAGCTCTGGGCTGGGGCCCAGCAGTCTGCTGTAACAAGCTCTCTAGGTGACTCTGGTGCATGTAAAATTGGGCAACCACTGACATCTAACACAGTTATTGCATAGCTGGGGAAACTGAGCCCCAGAAAGGGGGATGGGTTTGCGTAAGTCACACAGAGAACTGAAGGCCCACCCCCAGGCCTGTTACTTCTGACACCCTAGACGTCTTTCTTTCACCCACAGAATCAGAGAACACCCACTCAAGAGGGAGTTATTGCCAGCCGCGGTGGCTCACACCTGTAATCCCATCACTTTGGGAGGCCAAGGCAGGTGGAGGATTGTTTGAAGTCAGGAGTTCAAGACCAGCCTGACCAACATGGTGAAACCCCATCTCAACTAAAAATATAAAAAATTAGCTGATATGGTGGTGAATGCCTGTAATCCCAGCTACTCGGGAGGGTGAGGTAGGAGAATTGCTTGAACCCAGGAGGCGGAGGTTGCAGTGAGCTGAGATTGCACTATTACACTCCAGCCTGGGCAACAAGAGTAAAAATTTGTTCCAAAAAAAAAAAAAAGAGGGAGTTATTGGTAAGAAATGAGTGAGAAAAACACTTGTCAACAGCCTAGTGAATGCCTAAGAGCCTAGCACAGGTGTAGTGGAGGGCTAATGCTCCTGTGGCTTGTCCCTGTGCCTTGTTATAATTATTAGATTTCAGAGATCACCCTTAGGTGCACCATAGAATCAGCTGGAGGGCTTGTTCAAACAAAGACTGCTAGACCTCACCCCTAAGTGTCAGATTCTGTAGGTCTGGGCGGGGCCTGATAATTTGCACTTCTAACAAGTTCCTGGGTGCCGTAGCTGCTGCTGTCGTTGGTTCAGGGAATACCCTTAGAGAACCTCCAACTAGCTCCATCGGTCTGCAAACCTTTCACACTTTATATCAGCAAAATCTTGTCTCTTAAACGAAACTCTTTAAAGAAGGCCAGTGCATCAGACAGCCCCAGAAGACGCTGTTTAATGATAAAATACACTAAAGTGCTAGCTGAACCTCTCAGGGACTATGTGACCATCACCTCTCAAGGCTGCTAGCTTTGATGGCCCCAGGGATCCCCAAAACCCAATGTGAAAGTCACTGCTTTAAGTTAGTCCGTTACCCTCGGTGGGTGGTGGGTGGGGGAGAATCTCTCTCCTCCAACTGCGTTAATAGGGGGACATCTGCTATCTCAAGCCAGCCCCTCCACCTCATGTTTGACCAGAAGAACGTGAGGACCACAGAGCTCTGGGCTCCCAAGGGGTCCCAAATGCACCCCATTCTCCACTAAACTCCTCCCCAGATGACAGGAGACTTGAGTGTCTTTGCAAAGCCAGCATTGCTTGTGATCTATTAATAAGGAGCAACTTGGTAGTGCCAAGTGAAGACATGGGGGCAAAGAGAGCTCAGGGGCTGCCCACAGAGAGGGGCATAGAGTGGGGCAGGGCAGGGACACCTGGGCGCTGCTACCTGGATGCCACCTGCGCTTACCTACATGTTGGGAAATAGTCACAGCCAGCTCATAGTAAATGAGGGGACCTGCCAGGCCTGGTGCTAATACCTTGGATCCTTGGAAACACTGGGTGTCCTGGGATGGAGCTACCTCTGTAGGTGGGGTCCCAGTGACAGAACTGGAAGGGAAAGAGTCTGCTCTGATCCAAACCCGTCAACAGACCCATGAGTGACAAGACGGAGGCCAGGCGGGGTTAGGTCGACACGGTGCAAGGGGCCGGAACCCGAGTTCAAACCCGGGCCTCCCAGGTCCCCGGCCAGCATGTCTCGACCTCTCTGCAGAGCTGCAGTCTCGGAACCATCTGGGGAGCTGGCTGAAGGCCAAGTTCCTGGGCCCCACCCAGACCCAGTGAATCAGAACCACTCAGAATTTGGGGGAACAGGAGAACCAGGATGCCAATTCTAGGACTGAGCATCAGAGCACCTCAGGGAGACGATCTAGAGCCACAGCTAGGCTGGTCAGATTTAGACTGAGCAAAACCAACATCAAAACACAGGATGGCTGGTTAAATTTCAGTTTCAGGCTGGGCTGGTGGCTCACACCCGTGATCGCAGGACTTTGGGAGGCAGAGGTGGGAGGAAAGTTGGAGGCCAGGAGTTCAAGACCAGCCTGGGCAACATAGAGGGACCCCATCTTTACAAAAAAATACAAAAATCAACTGGGTGCGTGGCACTTGCCTGTAATCCCAGCAACTCGGGAGGCTGAGGCAGGAGAATTACCTTAGCCCAGGAAGTCAAGGCTTCAGTGAGCTATGATGGCACCAGTGTACTCCAGCCTGGCCAACAGAGCAGTCTTTGTAATTAATTAATTAAAATTTCAGGTAAATAGTACATGTTTTAGTAAAAGTATGTCTCAAAAGTTTCATTTTCTATAAATATTAATTAATTTTATATGAGCATTTAATTTTGAGTATCAATACGTCCCATGCAGTATTTAGGACACACTTAATATTAAACCATTGCTCATTATATATCTAAGATGTGAATTTCACTGCGCAGCCTGTCTTTCCTTTTTTTTTTTTTTCGAGACAGAGTCTCACTCTGTCACCCAGGCTGGAGTGCAGTGGCACAATCTCAGCTCTCTTTGACCTTCGCCTCTTGGGTTCAAGAGATTCTCCATCCTCAGCCTCCTGAGTAGCTGGGATTACAGGTGCCCGCCACCATGCTCGGCTAATTTTTGTATTTTTAGTAGAGACGGGGTTTCTCCATGTTGGCCAAGCTGGTCTTGAACTCCTGACCTCAGGTGATCCACCGGCCTCAGCCTCCCAAAGTGCTGGGATTACAGGCGTGAGTCACCACGTCCAGCCGGCAGCCTGTATTTCATCTGACAAGACTGTCCACCATCCCAGCACAAGCTGATGGAGCCGGCCACTCCCTTCTCCGGGGGTCCAGGTGGCAGGGGAGGGACTCACTGCAGACGATCTCAGTGTCATTCTCAATGGTATAGTCGTAGTGGTCCACGTAGGGGTGGCAGCCCTGGTCAAAGAGTTCCTGGTAGCAGCAGTCGTGGGCGTGACAGCACCTAGGGACCAGCAGAGGTGAGTGGACAGGCATGGCCGGGCTGGCCCATCTCCCACCAGCACAGACCTCTGATCATGTATTCCAATCTCTCACAACTCAAACGTTTGAACTGAAGCCCAGAGATGGACAGTTACTTGTCCAAGGTCACACAGCCAAGCAGAGCTGGGACCAGCACCCCAGGTTCTGATCCTCACAGCTTCAGTTTCATGGCTGCAACCAGAGCTGCCCACCCCAGGACACATTCTCCCCTGTGTCTTTGTTCTATCCACAGGGCTCCCAGCTCTTCCCACAGGGTCCTTGCTGCAGCTGTCGGAGGGGTCAGGGGCCTGTCTGGGTTTAAGTCAAGGTTGGAGGAGCATCGACTATATGTGGAGGCTACCGCGGCTGTGCCTCATGGCCAGGGAGGGACAAAGCTCTGGTGGGATGCAGGACAGGAAGCACAGGCAGTGTGGCTGTCCCCGTCACCTCTGGTGGAGTAAATGTGCATTTATTAAGCTTTCTGTGATACCAGCTTGGTGCTGGCAGCTGTTGGGGAGATAGGAGCAGAAGACAAGCATGGCTTCCGGGAACTCTCAGTCCTGTCTTCCAGAGCCTCCCATCTCAGGCGGGCAGGGGTCCCAGCCCTTGCCTTTGCGGGGTGTCAGCTGTTTGACTGCTCTCCCATGTGTGTTTGGAGCAAGTCAGAAGTCCCTTCCTGGGAGAGGAGGGGCTGAAACACTTCCAAGCCCATGACCTTGGAGATGGACAACGGAAAGCGTCCAAGACAGTTTGGAAAGAACATGGTCAAAGAGCAGGCTCTGGTCACTGACTCATTAAAGAAGCCAAATTCTTTGGGGAAAGAAAGTCTGCCCCTCTCAGGGATGGAGGTCAAGTTCAGTCTGACCTTCAGCTATCCTCATTTGGCCCCTGACAGGAGCCCAGTCTCTGGTACCTACCAGTCCACCTCATCCTTGGGCTGCCCACGGCCCCCTAGCCCACAGTAGCAGCCGTAGCCCACGAAGGACAGGATGGCGCTCCTCCCTGTGATGGCCTCCACCATGGCCTTCAGGTTGAGCAGGCTGCCGTGGGCTGCGGACAGAACTGCAAGAGAACCAGGGGGTGCTCTGAGCCCCTGCCCCGTGGCTGGCAGCTCCCAACCTCTCTCATCCTGAGAGTCTGGACTGATCATCCTCCCAATGCCTAGGGATACATAGGGTAGGGGGAGAAGGCAGGAGGAAGCAGGAGAGGAAGCAGGAAAGGAAGCTGGGACAAGGAGGGTGGGCAGCTAAGCAGGAGGAAAGAAATCTACAAGGGACCACGTATGGGGTTGCAGTGAGCTTTCAATGGTTCATGGATGGAAGGGGCTTGGAACAGTGCCTGGCATGGAGCAAGCCCCCAGCAAGGATGGCCTGCATTGTTTTCTCAGGACTGCAGGGCTTACAGCAGGGATGTGAGTGTATCAGGTGTGTGTACACTCACCCACAGATACCTGATACACTCACACTCACCCACAGATACCTGATACGCTCACACTCACCCACAGATACCTGATATGCTCACACTCACCCACAGATACCTGATACACTCACACTCACCCACACACACCTGATACACGCACACACTTGTACACTCACATGCTCATGCATTACAGACGTACTGACATACAAAATGCATCCAGGGGAGAATCGGGCCTGGCCCGAGGCCGTGTCCACATTCGCACTCCAAGTGAAGGAATCCAAGTCCACGTTCAGTTGGGCTGAAGGCTCTGCCCTAACTTGGGCTGGACTCCAGTGGTAGCCTTCTAAACAATAGGTCATTTTGACTGAATGCAACCAGCCCTCTCTCATGTCTGGCCACATGGAAGCTTACTTTTGTTTTTGGCCGTTATTTCTTTTCCTTAAGCCAGGCTGTGTTCTGGGAGGTTAACAGGCTGCATGAAATGTCAGCAAGAGGCCCAGCCGATGGTCTGTGGAGCTGGGGCACCCGCCACACAAATGATGTCAGGACACATGGCAGGGTCAGGTTTGCGTCAAGGGCCTCATGCAAGAATCCTAAGGGGCAGCTACCCAAACACAACGCCTGGGTACCAACCCCAGAAAGAAGCCCCTGACCTCCCACCACTCTGTGGTACACAGACACCCACCCTACACACACACACACACACACACACACACACACACACCCCTGCAGATCTATGCACCCTACATCTGTAAGGCCACTCTGGAGGCACACCCCAATTAACACATGTTCACATGGGCTCACACTGAGGTGCCTACACTGTCACATACTTTATTGATTCGTGTTGTACACATAAACATCACCACGTGCTCAGACACACCTACACACAGATGCCTGCATCTGTCTGCACACAAAATCATTAACTCCTGTCTGATGGACACACACTGATACACACTCAGGTACACAAATGCCCAGCTAACAACAGCATTTTATGATGCTTGCTCAGCTCTGAGCCCTGCCCCCCCGGGGCTCATAAATGCCTGTTTACAGGTGGCTGGAGGGGTAAACAGCTCCAGAATTGGGTGCAGCCTGCTGGGCTGAGCCAGGAAGCAGAGGCCCAGAGAGAGGAAGGAACCTAGGCCAGTCAGTGAAACCATAACTCAGGCTCCCAAGGTCAAGGGCGACAGGCCAGGAGTGGGAGAGAGGGAGGAGTCCCCCTGGCGTCATTACTCACCACTGCCAGCGAGGATGGCCATGGCGAAGAGCTTCTTCATACCCAGGCTAGCCCTGTGGGAGGATGAAACCCAGGGCCTAAGTCCATCCCCTCCACCCCTGGCAGAGCGGGACCTGCTGCCGCCTTCCCGAGCCTCATGACAGGTGTCCTCAATGCTGTCTTTTGACGTCCTAGTTGCTGCTCCTAGCTCTGTCATCAGCACCTGCCCAGCCCCTCCTGGAGGAGCACACCCCAGATAGCAGAGCCAGGAGGCACCAGCATCTCTTTGCCCCCAACTCTGGCAGGAGCCCCCTACACACATCAGCCTCCAGGACAGGAAGCCCGCTGTCTCAAGCCAGACCTCCCATGCACACCCGAGGGAGTCCAGGAAGGAAGTCACGTGACCCAGCCTAGCAGATGAGTCTCGAACCCAAAGCCAGGAGTCCTGAGTCCCTGGATTCCAGTCCCAGCACTGCTTCCAAAATGTGTGACCTCAGCCTCTCTGGGCCACAGGAGGGTTGTGGCGTCACTCTCTTTGGGCCACAGGAGTACTGCGTGAGGGTTGACTACGTGATCCCAAAGGCCCTTCTAGTGCTGGAAATGCAGTGACCATCTCAGTCCACCATGCTGACTCTCAGAGCTCTCCTTTCTGGAGAAAGGGATTCTAGGAGCCAGTCCCTCACCCCCGTCCCTGCCCCTCCCTGGGAGATTCCATCTCAGGGCAGCAGGCACCTACCTGGAGGTTCTTGAAGGACAGGAGGCCCTGAAGCATGGGCCCCTCCCCCCAGAGGGGCATCTACCCAGCACCTTCTTTTTGAACCCTCTGGGGTTGGCCTGCTCCCCTTCTGCCATGTTCTGGGTTCTGGGGGGCCAGCAACATAGGTCTTGAAAGGTCTGTGATGCACTCCAGAGGCTGTGGGGAGCTGGCCCCAGCTTCACACTGCCTCGCACACTGGCAGGGGAGTGCCGGGGCAATGCCCCTGGGCAGGAGGCAGGTGACACATGCCCTAGAAAAAGGAGACTCCACCTCCTCCTCCCACCCCCACAGCCCTGCCCACAGCTGGCTGGTACAGTCTCCACCCCCGGGCACTCTGGCCTGGCTGACTGGGGGGTTTGCATACCTGATAGGAGAATTGGTCTCTCGCCAGGCATCCGAAAGGAAATTAGCCTAAAGGCCTTTCTTTCTCCATCTGAAAGATGTTAAAGAAAAAAAAACTCACTCAGTGACACTTGTTGAAGCAAAGTAAGGCAGACTTTGTTCAAAGGGGTCATGGGGTCAGGTGTAGGGACATGGCAGTGGGTTCCGCAGTGGGGAAGAGAGGCTGGACTCAACTGCAGATGCAACAGGGAAAAGCAGGAATTGACAGCCAAGGAGCAGGGTAGAGTCTGAGGATGGGAAGTTATCCAGAAGCATCAGGCATCTTCGGGGGTTTGGGAGACTCTGGCTAAACCAACGCAGTACCATTCCTGCTGAAGGCAGGTGGGTTGCTCAGGCACCACCCTGGGGCCCTGGAGGATGAGGAACACAACCAGATGTGGAGGACAAAATTGGGGATTCTCCCTAAACCAAATTAGCAGGGTTGTGCCACTGCCAGATTTGCCCTTGTAGGGGGCACTGTTACATCTGATGGAGAGGTTGGGGGCGGGGCCTGGTTGTCAGCATCATTTGCCTTTTTTGAAGACGGGGTGGTAAGAGAAAGATGGGGCCGGAGAAAATCCAAGGGGGTGTGAGTTTTGGGAGGAGGGCTGGGCCACCCGGCTGAGCCTGGGAGTTGAGCAGTCACAGTCACACTCATAGAGCCTCCCGTGCCCACTTCCCAGCTGTGAGATCTTGGCAGGAGAGCTCCTTTCCCTGGTCTCTGAGTCCCCAGCTGTAAGTGCACATAACAGGGCTCATGGAATGAGGATGATGCTCATAGAAGTGGGGTGGCATGTGGTGGGGGGCGGGCGTCGGTGCCCAGGTAAAGATCTGATTGTTACAAAGTAGAGGCCTGGGCCGGCATTATCCTTCACACCCACAGTCCCAGCACTGTGGGAGGCCAAGACAGAAGAATCGCTTGAGGCCAGGAGTTTGAGACCAGCCTGGGGAACGTAGTGAGACTCCATGTCTACAAACGACAACAAAGTAGGCGCTGATCTCCAGCTTGGGGAGGATTGAGATGCCGGGAGGTGGGAGAAGAGGACTCTTAGAAGTTCACACTGCAGATAACCCACTCACCTTCAAGGTGACCCATCTCTCTCGATGTCCTCAAACCTGCTGACGAGGGACAGAAGAGACCCCTGGGGCTTCCCTTCCTGCCCCTAGCTTTGCCAGCCTCCTCTTCTGGCTGTTTCAAACCACAGTCTACATGTCACCCCCCCACCCCCACCCTTCCTCTGCCCAGCTTCCTCTCTGTGGATCCAGGTCCGTCTCCTCTCCTGGAAGTTTTCCCGGAAAAGCGCCACTGCCTCCAATCACACGTCCTTGTTTGATGGGACGTTCATTTGCATTTGGTGATGCATTCCTTTGTAGCTACCTGTATATGTTTTGGTTTGTGAATCGTGACACTTCCCTCAGACTGGGGATCTGGGAAGGAAGGGGCCTTTGTTTCTTCTAAAAGCCTTTCTTCCCCCTTGGGACGAGGCTGCAGCTGCCTCATCAGGCTGGGAGTCATTGGACAACAAGGCTAGTCTCTGCCTTCGCTCGTCTGCACAAAATTTGGCTTCTTTCTTCCATTTTTGCACGCACCACTTAGTGATGTCACCACACTCCAAAGAAGGAAGTATTGAGAAGTAAGGCCCGGTATGTTCAAATTCTGAAGATACAGCCTCCAACCTGCAGATAACTAGAGCCGCTTCGACAGAGGTCGAGGAGGCCAAGGCTGGGGCCGGGGACCCCTGAGAGCCTCTGAACAGCATCATTGCTACTTTCTCAACTGGAATTGCCACTGAACATGCTGGTTGGGCTGGTCCTCAGACAGGCTTGATCCTTGACGGGGAGGACGGGCTCTTCCCTCTCCCTCCCCCTTCCCCCTACCAAACTCAGGGTGCTCAATAGCAAGTCAATATAAACTGGTTGACCCAGTCATTCCACTTCTGGGACTGCAAACCAAGACGCCAACTTGAGCTGCTCGTAGAGACAGAAGAGGGACACGAAGGGATGTTTTCTTGATGCCCCCCCCACCCCCTTGGAAGCAACTTAAATTAGGGGATTAGTTAAGCAAATTATTAGCCATCCATCCATAATCATGTTTTCAAATATTTGCTGATACAAAAATAAACACCCTGTACTACAAGGTAATAGCATTTTAAAAAGGAGTTGGTATACACATCCGTACAAGTATTTAGAAGGATACATTGTAAAAGCATTAGTAGCAGATGTCTTTAGACAGTGGAATAACTGGTGGTTTTTATTTTTTTTATTTGTAATTTTTGGTATTACAATGAATGTAAGAATACATAATGAAATGGTCAATTTCCTTGAAAGACACATAGTCACTCAACTGGAAATAGCTGTGTGTCTATGCAAGCCACTGAATGTGTAGTTTAAAACCTTCCCATAAACAAACTCCTGCTCCAGATGGCTTCACTGGTGAATTTGACCAAATACTTAAGGAAGAAGTAACACCAATTGTATGAATTTTCTAGGGCTGCCATGACAAAAGACCACAAAGGGAGGGGCTTCGTGTAGAAATTGAGAGTCTGGAAGTCCAAGATTAAGATGCTGGCAGGGCTGATTTCATTCTGAGGTCCTTGTCCGTGGCTTGAAGATGCCACCTTTGTGCCGTGTCTTCGTGTGGCCTTTTCTCTGCGCTTGCGCATCCTTATGTCTCTTCCTGTGTCTAAATTTACTCATCCTATAAGGCACCAGTCATATTGCGTTAGGGTCCGCCCTTGATCCCACTTAATCACCTCTTTAAAGGCATTGTCTCCCAATACCCAGTCATGTTCTAAGGTACCAGGGTTAGAGCTTCAACTTACAAATCTGGGTTAGGGGAAAACAATGGACCCCATAACACCAATTACACACAGATTCTTCCAGAAAATTTAGGTGAAGGAAATGCTTCCCAATTCATTCTACTAAGCCAACATTGTTCCAATACCAAAACCAGATAAAGACATTACAAGAAATAAAAACTACAAGCTACAATTCTTCATCAACATAGATTTAAAAAAACTCTTAACAAAATATTGGCAAACAGGCAAATGCTGTCAAACAGGCAAATATACCATGACCTAGTGGGGTTTATCCCAGGAATAAAATAAAAAAGGATTGCTTTTTGCATGAAAAATCAGTCAATGTAATATACCATACTAATAGACTAAAGAAGAAAAGCCATATGATCATCTCAACAAATCCAAGAAAACAAAACAAACGCCATTTGACAAAGTCCAACATCCATTCCCAATTTTAAAAACTGTCTGCAAACTGAGACAGAATAGAACTTCCTCAACTTGAAAAAGGGTGTCTATGGCCGGGTGCTGTGGCTCACACCTGTAATTCCAGCACTTTGGGAGGCCAAGGCACGTGGATCACCTGTGATCAGGAGTTCGAGACCAGCCCGGCCAACATGGTGAAACCCCGTTTCTACTAAAAATACAAAAATTAGCCAGGTGTGGTGACACATGCCTGTAATCCCAGCTACTCGGGAGGCTGAGGCAGGAGAATCACTTGAACCCAGGAGGCAGAGGTTGCAGTGAGCCGAGATCACGCCACTGCACTCCAGCCTGGGCAACAGAGCCAGGCTCCATCTCAAAAATAAATAAATGACATTTACAAGAAATATATGGCCAAATCTGGCTTAATGGTGCAAGACTGAATGCCTTTCTCCTGAAGATTAGGAAGACTGTCCGTTCTCACCACTTCTATTTTACATTGTACTGGTGATTTCAGATAGTACAACAGGCAAGAAAATAAATGAAAGGCCTTCAGATTGGAAAGGTAGAAGAGAGTTGATCTCTATTGGCATCAGCATAATAGTCCATGTAAAATATTCTACAAAGGATACAAAAAAGCTACTGGAACTAACAACTGAATTTTGCAAGGTTGCAGGATATAAGATAAAATTACAAAATAGTCATAATAATTGTACTTCCACATACTAGCAATGAATAATTGGATATTGAAATTTTTAAAAATACACTTACAATAATATCAAAAAATATGAAATATTTAGGGATAAAATTGACCAAAAAATGGATACTTGTACATTAAATCTGTACAAGTATCAGATGCTCAGAGAAATCAAGGAAGACCAAAGTAAATCAAGGGATATGTCATGCTTATGAATCAGAAGGCCCAGTATTGCTACAATGTCGATTCTCATTTGCTTTATAGTCAATGCAGTCTCAGTCAAAATCCTAACAGACTTTTCTTATAAAAATTGACAAGCTCACCCTGAAATTCATATGGAAATTCAAGGGATCTAGAATAGCCAAATCGACTATAAAAAGATGAATAATATTGCAGGACTTACATTACCTGATTTTAAGATTTATAAAGTGGGCCAGGTGCAGCAGCTCACACCCATAATCCCAGCACTTTGGGAGGGCAAGGTGGGAGAATTGCTTGAGCCTGGGGGTTCGAGACCAGCCTAGACAACATAGCAAGACCCTGTCTCCGCAAACAAACAAACAAAAAATTAGCGTGGCTTTGTGGCACACACTTGTAGTCCCAGCTACCTGGGGGGGCTGAGGTAGGAGGATTGCTTGAGCCTGGGAGGTCAAGGCTGCAGTGAGCTGTGTTTGTGTCCTGCCTTCCAACCTGGATGACAGAGTGAGACTGTCTTAAAAAAAAGTTACTGTAATCAAGAGAGTATGGTATTGATATAAAGATAAACAAATAGGCCAGTGGAACAGAATAGATGATTGAGAATCAGACCTACATGTGTGGAAAATTTATTTCTGACAAGGATGCAAAGGGCAGTTCATGGAGAAAGAACAGCATTTTCAGCCATGTTGCTAGGTCA